AAAATAACTGAAAAAAAATATGCTTCGATCTGCATTTAGAGTCCATCAGTTCTTTATCTTGATGTGGACAGCATTTTTCTTCATGAGTCCTTTGTACTTGTCTTACATCACTGTGTTGCTGGGAAGAGCTGAGTTATTCATAGTTGACCATCGCATGGTCTTTCTGATACTGTATACTACATTTTCTTGGTTCTGCTCATTTCACTTTGCATCAGTTCGTACAAGTCTTTCCAGGTTTTTCTGAAATCTGCCTGTTTATAATTTCTTATTGCACAGTAGTAATACATTACATTCATATACCACAGCTTGTTCAGCCATTCCCCAATTGATGGGCATCCCTTCAATCTACAATATTTTGCTACCACGAATCGGGCTGCTATAAATATTTTTGCACATGTAGTCTTTTTTATGATCTTGTAAAAGAATATTATTACTGTGCTATAAGAAATGATGTATGTGATCAATACAGAGAAACGTGGAAAGATCTATATAAACTGATGCAGAGTAAAGTAAACAAAGCCAGGAAAACAATATATGCAGTAACTACATCAATGTAAATAGAACCACACATCAGAATAAAGAATTAATGTGACAAAATTACAAAAGATCAAGCAGTATTCAAATGAAGTGATATAAGAAGACATCCCAATGTACCCCTCTGTGGGGGTGAGAGGTCCATCGGTGTTATACGCTGCACTTATTTTAGGGGGGCCTTTTCAACGTATTGATCAGGTTGCTGACTTTTTTTTTCTTCTTTAAAAAAACGCTACTTGAAAAAAATGCTATTTGTTATATGGGATGGCTCTCTCTGAGGGGTGGGAAAGGGGGAGGGACACTTAGGATAACTGTGATGTAAGCAACAGAAGACATCGATAAATTTTTTAAAAATACTAAACATCAGTGCAACACATTAATCTTACTTTGTATCCACTTGCATTTAAAAAGATGAATTTCAACACAAAATATCCTAAATTTTCAGTCACTTGCTCTATGTCTTCATCAGAATTTTTTGTCCATTTCTTCCTATTCACTTCTCTTATGGGGTCCTAATATATGCTCTGTTTCTTTTGTTCAACATATATATTTTTTGGTTTTATGTTATTTCATAAAGGCCCCTCTCTATTTCTTTCTATTCCTCAACTTTGAAGCATTATAATGTTCCCTGGCATTCATGTACCATGATTTATTTAATGCTTCCCCTATTCTTGGGCATTTATATAGCTATGCTGGTTGATTTTTCTAGGTTTGTGTGGTTGTGGCTGGGTCCAGTGTTGATTTTTGTTTCTATTACATACACCCCTTCAACCAAAACCCAAACCCTCTGAACAGATATTTGTTCACTGAACACAGCATGGAGTGTTACTTCTGATAATATTCTCAGTGTGTCTTCCCCAAACTAAAGCAATTGGGTGTTTGCTCTTCTTTTCTAAGTCCTTTCCAACTCTGTGACCATGACTGTGGGCAGAGAGGGGAGCGGCTCCTTAAGAGGGCTTCAGAATCAAACACTGGTCTGGGAGGCAAGGAGATGGGTTCAATCCCATCTCAAACACTTAATAGCCACATGGCCTTGGGCAGACTTCATGCTTCTGACCCTCACTTTCTTCATGTTTAAATTGGTGAAAGTAACAGCGTCAACCTCACAAGGTGATTTTAAAGGTGAATGACATGTATTGTAAAGCTTAAAATACTATATAAATGTGAGTTATTATTATTGCTGTCATTATCATTATTAGCTCCTCTCCTTAAATCAGTCATTCATTGAGCACTTATTAAGTGCTACTGTGTACCAGGCACTATGTTAACTGGTGGGGATAGAAAGAAAGGCAAAAACTGTCCCTGCCCATGAGGAACTTGTATTCTAACAGAGAAGGCAAAATGTGCACATAGAGGCATATAAAAGAGACACACAAAGTAGATCATAGCATCACAGATTCAGAGCTAGCAGGGACTTTGGAAGGCAGGTGGTCCATTTTACAGATGGGCAAACTAAGGCCAGGATATTAAGGGGCTTGCCCAATGTCAAACAACAAGCCCATGACCTTAGCAGGGAAGGCAAAAACAGTACTTCTGAAAAGCAGGAGCTTTTTAGGGAGATTGAGAGTGCTTGCCTTTCCTTTAAAGTCAGCTTCAAAGACAGAAGCCCACTTATGGAGGTTATCCTTAATTGAGGCACACAGAGTCCTGAAAGAAGACAGTCTAACTGTTCAGCCCGCAAGGAGCCCATGCCTTGAGCGTGACTGACAAAAGTCCAGGTGGTAAAGTCTCTGGTCCAGTGATGAGAGACGAGTGTTCCCTGTTAGCCTTTTTGTTCATTCTTCCTTGGAGAATGTAACCTCCTCCTGGCTAACCTTCCTATAATGTACTATGGATGAAGTCAGGCTGAGACAAGTGAACATATTCCCACCATGCCAGGCCCCAAGCAACCTTCCAGATATGACAGGCCACTGTCTCTCTTATTTCCCCGTTCCCCAGAAAAGTGCAAAGAATGATTCTTAGACCGTCACATGCACCCCGTTGTCCTTGGGGTATTACAACATTACGTGAAAAGGTTCTTAAACGTGAAATATTTTCCGGCAAAAGAAGCCAATGGTTGCTAACATTATAGGACTACTGGGGTTTAGGGCTTTAATCACTTGGCAAATGTCAGCTCGTTAATACTTCATACAGTGTCCCTGGGAGAGAAACATCAGCACATTTCTTTTCAGACAGCAGCGCAAGACCTTGTAAGGAAAAGACACCATGCAAGGCGGCACTGAGTCAACGGTGGAGCTGAGAATATCTGCCAATCAAATACACTGTGAGCCTGGCAGGTGGGATTTGGGGGTTGGGAGATACCAACTGTTTCACAGCCATCTGATATTAAAACTTAGGGCTGTCTTTAGCTCATCCCACAGCTAAAGCCTTTCTTTAGCTTCTTTAGTACATGGTTTCAAGGGGTATCACCAGGGTAGGTGCCAGCAACTAGCTTGGTAAAGATGTTGGACCAGCCCACGAGGCCCTGTCCTGCTCCCCTGGGCTAGGTGTCAAGGCCCCTTCATCTCTGCACCCCACCCCCCTTCTCTGGGTAGCTCCGGTTCCATCCGTCAGACTGGTCAGCAAACCCATCAGTCATTAATGAGGATATTTCTCTCCTCCGGGGCTGCCACCAACTTCATTTGTTTGCCTCCTTGGACTGAATTCCAGCCAAGGCATTGACAACTTAGTTCCTTATCCCTGGGTTCATATAGACGTAGTTCCTGAAGAAAGCTATTGGTCACAGGCTCAGCGCCAAAGACATCAAGCGATTAATTGTCCCCCTTCTGCGCCCCCTGCCTCAGCCTCTCCCAAAATTGGGATTTCAGAGGTATGTATAAGAAGCAGACAGATCAACTAGCATTTGTAAAACACACACACATACACATATACACACAGGGCGTACCAAAAGTCTTAAGCTGAACAACTTAAAGCTGCATTGAGATGTTTGGGACAGCACACAGACACACACAAGTATATGTGTGTATATGTATATATACACACATACATGTATGTTCATGTTTCACATAAATACACATTTTGCATAAATTCAAATTGTACATTTAATAAAATAAATTATAAACACATTAAAGTTATGTGATAATGTGTGTATATACATGCATGTTTGTGTGTATACGTACATATATTATGCACATGCACACATGCATCCATGTATTCATACACACACATACATACATATTTCTTATAGAGTAGTAAGGCAGTAAGATCCCTTTAAGCATCTTCTCTCCCTAACCACACACAGCAAATGGCAGCTCTGTTCTTCAGCTCTGCAACAGTCATGTGGTCAATCTCCCCCACCTCAGGCCACTCTGCGCCCCTTAAATGCCCCACCCCCCACTGCTTCACAGCAAGAAGCCTGTGTGGAGCTAAGCATCTTTCCAGCGGCAATAACTAAAGGTAATTTTCTTTTAGTCATTTTAAACCTTTCTCAGCTCCAACCTGCACGCCCAACACAACCATAAATGAGAGCGAGCTTCATTTCCAAGGTGCGATGCCGCAATCAGACCTTCCATCTCTTTTATTCTTCCCTTCAAGCCTGACATACGATTGCTCACAGATCTCAAGAACAGAAGATATTTCCCATTTCCGCCTGTCTTCCTGTAAACACATTATAAAAACCAGTGGAGCACCACCAGTCACTGTTCCCTGGATGCATTTATCTACTCATGAAAGAAAGTAGGGTCCTTACACATGTGTTCCTGGGCAACTGCCTGCTAAGTCTCACAACAGTGTGCCTTTTGTCCCCTGACAGGGCTTATAAAAAGCATGAGCAAGGAGATTCAGAGATTTTCATTCACTTCGGTGTTATGGCGTCTCTCCTCCCTCCCCACCTCTTAAGTGCCAGCCACTGTGGTCAAAGGGGAGGATGGCTTCTGGTGTCATCCTAAGTTAGGCCTTCAGGGAGTGACTTCCTCAGGGTGAAAAGAGGACAGTCTACTATTATACCTATAACCCTGGACTTCTCTGCCCACACACCCTGTAACTGGCAAGAGGTGACTGGAGAAGAAACGCCCCCAGTGTCTGCCTGGTAATAAGCACAAGCCTAAATCTGGGGGTTCCAGCTGGTCCCCCATCTTCAAAATGAAGAACCATTGGAATAGCTGATGGTTGTAAACTATGTAAATCAAGGTTTGTTAACCTGGGGTTTGGGAACTTTGTTTAAATTTTTTTGATAACTGAATTTCAACACAATTGGTTTCCTTTGTTATCCTATGTGTTTTATTTTATGCATTTAGAAAACTACTCTGAGAAGGGGTCTAGAGGGCTTCATCAGACAGCCCAAGAGCATATATATTTTTACATATTTACATGTGTGTGTATTTATATACATAAGTGCATATATGCACACGTAAGTGTGTTAAGAACCCCTGGTATAAGAAATCTTTGAATGAAGAAAAAAAACCACAGTTATACATCCATCAGTCAATAAGCATTTATTAAGTACCTACACCAGTGCTAAGCACCAGGTTTCAAAGACAAAAATAAAACTGTTCCTGCCCTCAAAGAGCTTATATTCTGTAAGAGAAGACAACATGTACACCATGTATTTATCATGCAAGGAAATACACTTATCATGCATAAAAGACCCTCAACACATCTAAGGATTTTTCAGGTGGCAAAGTATGAAGTTCAATTTCATGAGAGTAGATCGGGGATGGAATTTTGAGTCCTGATCCCCCACTACAGCCGTAACTCCTTTTCATTAGCATATCAATTCAACAACTCAATGAACACGGATTAAAGGCCTTCTATGAACATAGCATTTTGCCAGGTAATAGGGATCACAGAGACAGAAGGAAACAATCCCTGCCCACAAGGAGTTTACATTCTAATGGGGAGATGCAACGTGTTCCCAGATACGTAAAAACGGGAAGTACAAAGCAATTTCAGGAGTAGAAGAACGTTAACAACTGGAGTAGGGGTCCAGGAGCAGAGAATTAGTAAGGTCTTTATCAAACTGAGCCATGAATGAAGCTATGGATTTTAAGAGGCAGAGGTGAGGAAGGAGGACATATTTCAGGCAAAGGAAAGAAGAGTCTGGACAAAGGTGTGGAGATGGAAGACTGCATGCCAAGTTGAGGAAAACAGCTAATAGACCAGTTTGGCTAAAATGCAGAGCGCATAAAGGGGAGTTACATGAAATAATTCTGGAAAGGTAAGTTATAGCCATAAATCATAGATTTGACCAGTAAAGATCTTTGGAATCTTTGAAAGGATTAAAAAATAAAAAAATTATTTATCTATAAAGAAATAAATTTCTTTTTAACTGATATCTAACTTAGAAAAAAGTAGCACTTTATGGAATATAAATGTATTTTAGGAAAACTTTAATGGAAAGGCATTCTAGGAGGCTCTAGTTTAATCCGATGCTAAATGCTTTTCTGGACTTTGTCAACTAGCTTCTGACCTGAAAGGAACCTTATGGTTCATCTAGTCCAACATCTCATCTTATGAGGAGTTTAAATGCCAGGATAAAGAGTCTTCATTTCATCCGAGAGGTGACAGGGAAGCTCTGAACATTTCTGAGCAAGGGAGTGAATTATAAATATTAATTTGGCAGCTGTTTTGACATTGGAGTGGAGAGGAGAGAGACAGGAAGCAGTTAAGTCTAATATAGGAGTTATCATACAAGTCTAAGCGAGAGTCAATCGAGTCCAAACCAGGGCACTGGCTGTGTGAATGGACAGTAGACCGATTTGAGAGATGACACAGAGGCAGAAGAGACAAACTTGGCAACTGATTGGACGTAAGGCATGAGGGAGAAGGAGGAGTTGAGGGTGACGCTGAAGCTGCTCACCTCAGAGATTGAAGGATGGTGGTATTTTCAACGCAATTAAGGAAGTATGGAGAAGGAAAGAGTTTGGGGGGAAATCAAGGCAAGGAAAGGGGAAGGGTGTTCCTCTAAACCCTGACAATTTCCGTCCACTGGAAGTGCAAACTCAAGGTCAGTGGTTCCAGCAGAGCCCCTAAGGGGGCAGTCCAATGGGTGTGGTCCATTCCCAAGAGGCCCATCTTCTGGATGTGGTTTCTAGAATTGGAACTAGAAATAACAACTGGAAGAACAGAATGTTAGAACTGAAAGGAATGGTAGAGATCATTTAGCTCAAACTACTCATTTTATAGGAAACTGGGGCTGAGAGAGAACCAATCTAATACCACAGAACCAGTTAATAGCAGAGATAGCACAGAAACCCAGATATCCTGAATTCTAATCCAGGACCCTTTTGTTATTCCATGCAGGCCACTTCCCCCACTACGAAGAGTTAAAAAAAAAACCAACTACATTTTTACAAGCTGCTTTGGAAACACCCACAGGCCATGTGGGGTACTCTAACCTTGATTGTACCATGTTGACCAACCTATAACACACCCAAATTAAGACAACAGACAAAAGTACATTTAGCTAGCTTAAGGAGTAATTACTCCACTCGATAAAGAAGTGAAAACAAAGATGGTGTCCCCAGTTATTGATCCATTCCCCCCACCATAATCCATCTTGTGTATTTGTTGGGTTCACCCTTGGGATCTGTCTCCCATTTGGTTTGTACCTGATTTTTTTCCACCACTTAAAGATGTTTCTAGAGTCCAGAATCTTCCCTTGCTGTTTTAAACAACTGCTCCTCAAAATAGATGAGCTGGTCCACCTCGAAACAGTCGCTGGCTCGCGGCACCACTTTCTCCAGAGACACCCTGATCTCCTCTTCACTGGCATTCTGTCTCCTGGCCTTCTTGAGGTAGCCATAGACAGTCTCAAACACTTCCAAGCCCAGCTTCTGAACGGCTGATCTGCACAAATAAGAAAGAGAGAAAATTGACAATCCGCACATCCCTCTAGAGACGGGGAGCTCCCTAAGGACAGGACTGTTGCCTTCCATCTCTGTATCCCCAGGACCTAGCATAGAACCAAGCATATTTCTTTCTGTCCAGCCTTGCAGTTCCATTGGTATGCAAGATCAGCAACTGCTACAGCAGATTGTCTTAGAGAGTTGTCTGAGGCACTAAAAAGCTAAATGGCCTTTTCAAGGTCATACATTCAGAGGAAGGATTTGAACTCAGGTCTCCCTAAGTCCATTGTATACTGCACTACATTGTGTTGTACATAACAGGTAGCTGATCAATATTTGTCCAGCTAAACTGAACTTAATTTAACTGAAATGCCTTTGTTAGCATTCATCTTTAGAGTAGCCACTCCTGGCTGATCTGGTGGACCCTTTCAAGTGGCCTTGATATTCAAGCTAAATACTAATGGTGGAACTATAGATACTGACGTTGGTGGTACTACCACCCACACTAGCACTGAGGAAAGTCTAGCACTCTGCAAGTGCCTGGGACAGAAGACTATCTAGTACCCTAATTGTTGTTTGTCCTTCATTCCTTTATTTAAAAAAATTAATTTATTTTAGTTTTCAACATTCACTTTTATGAGATTTTGAGTTCTAAGTTTTTCCCCCTTCTTCCCCTTCCCCCTCCCCAAGACAACATGTAATCTGATACAGGTTATGCATGTACAATCATATCAAACATATTTCCACATTAGTCATGTTGTGAAAGAAGAATCAGAACAAAAGGGGAAAACCACAAGAAAGAAAAAAACAAAAAGAGAGAGAAAATAGTATGCTTTGATCTGCATTTAGACTCCATAATTCTTTCTCTGGTTGTGGATGGCATTTTCCATCATGAGTCTTTTGGAATTGTCTTGGATCACTGTATTGCTAAGAACAGCTAAGTCTACCATAGCCGATCATCGCCTATATTACTGTATACAATATTCTCCCAGTTCTGCTCACTTCACTCAGCATCAGTTCACATAAGTTTTTCCAGGTTTTTCTTAAATCCACCTGCTCATCGTTTCTTAGAGCACAATAGTATTCCATTACATTCACATACCACAATTTGCTCAGCCATTCCCCAATGGATGGGCATCCCCTCAATTTCCAATTCTTGGCCACCACCAACAGAGCTGCTATAAATATCTTTGTACATGCGGGTCCTTTTCCCTTTTTTGGGATCTCTTTGGGACACAGACCTAGTAGTGGTATCGTTGGATCCAAGGGTATGCACAGTTTTGTAGCCCTTTGGGCATAGTTCCAAATTGCTCTCTAGAATGGTTGGATCAGTTCAGAACTCCACCAACAGTACATTAGTGTTTTCCCACATCATCTCCAACTTTTATCATTTTCCTGTTTTGTCATGTTGGCCAATCTGATAGGCGTGATGTGGTATCTCAGAGTTGTTTTAATTTGTATTTCTCCAATCAATAATGAGTCAGAGTATTTTTTCATATGGCTTTAGATAGCTTTGATTATTTCATCTAAAAACTGTTCACATCTTTTGATCATGTATCCATTGTGGAATGGCTCTTATTTTTATAAATTTGACTTAGTTCTCTACACGTTTGAGAAACATTTCTCTTTACCAGAGAAACTTGCTTCAAAATTTTTTTCATAGTTACTATTGCTAACTGTATTTCCCTCCATCTATTTCCTCCCCTGTTTATTCTATTCTTTGTCTCCTTTTACCCTGTCCCTCTTCAAAAGTGTTTTGCTTCTGACTACTCCCTCCCCCAATCTGCCCTCCCTTCTATCATACTCTCCTTTCTCTTATCCCCTTCCCCTCCTACTTTCCTGTATGGTAAGACAGATTTTATACCCAATTGAGTGTATATGTCATTCCCTTTTTGAGCCAATTCTGATGAGAATAAAGTTCACTCACTCCCCCTCACCTCTCCCCTCTTCTCCTCCACTGTAAAAGCTTTTTCTTGCTTCTTACAGGTGAGATAATTTACCCCATTCTACCTCTCCCTTTCCCTTTCTCCCAGTACATTCCTCTCTTACCTCTTAATTTTATTTTTTTAGCTATCATCCCTTCACATTCAACTCACATCTGTACCCTCTGTCTATATATATTCCTTCTAACTGCCCTAATAATGAGAAAGTTCTTATGAGTTACAAGTATCCCATGTAGGAATGTAAATAGTTTAAAATTATTAAGTCCCTTATGATTTTCCTTTCCTGTTTATCTTTTTATGTTTCTCCTGAGTCTTGTATTTGAAAGTCAAATTTTCTATTGAGCTCTAGTCATTTTATCAAGAATGCTTGAAAGTTCTCTATTTCATTGAATATCCATCCCCCACCCCCAAAGGGATTATACTCAGTTTTGCAAGGTAGGTGATTCTTTGTTGTAATCCTAGCTCCTTTGCCCTCTGGAATATCATATTCCAAGCCCTCTCATCTTTTAATGTAGAAGCTGCTAAACCTTGTGTTATCCTGAATGTCGCTCCACAATACTTGAATTGTTTCTTTCTGGCTGCTTGCAATATTTACTCCTGGGAGCACTGGAATTTGGTTATAATATTCCTAGGAGTTTTCATTTTGGGATTTCTTTCAGGAGTTTATCAGTGGATTCTTTCAATGTCTATTTTACCCTCTGATTCTAAAATAGGGGGTAATTTTCCTTGATAATTTCTTGAAAGCTGATGTCTAGGCTCTTTTTTTGATCATGGCTTTCAGGTAGTCAAATAATTTTTAAAATTATCTCTCCTGGATCTATTTTCCAAGTCAGTTGTTTTTTTCCAATGAGATATTTCACATTGTCTTCTATTTCTTCATACTTTTGGTTATGCTTCATTGTTTCTTGATTTCTCATAAAATCATTAGCTTCCATTTACTCAATTCCAATTCTTTTGGGGGGGGGCAATCAGAGTTAAGTGACTTGCCCAAGGTCACAAAGGTAGTTAAGTGTCAAGTGTCTGAGGCCAGATTTGAATTCAGGTCCTCCTGACTCTAAGGCCGAGCTTCATCCACCGTGCCACCTAGTTGCCCCCTTCAATTATAATTTTTAAGGAATTATTTTTCTTCAGTGAGATTTTGTACCTCCTTTTCCATTTGGACAATTCTACTTTTTAAGGAGTTTTTTCTTCAGTGGATTTTTGTGCCTCTTTTTCCATTTGGCCTAATCTGTTTTTTAAGGTGTTATATTTTAAAGTGTTATTTTCTCCATTTTTTCGTGTCTCCTTTACCAAGTTGTTGACTCTTTTTTTCATGATTTTCTTGCATCACTCTCATTCCTCTTCCCAAGTTTTCCTCTATCTCTCTTACTTAATTTTCAAAATCCTTTTTTAACTCTTCCATGGCCTAAGACCAATCCATATTTTTCTTGGAGGCTTTGGATGCCGGAGCTTTGACTTTGTTGTCTTCTTCTGAGTGTGTGTTTTGATCTTCCTTGTCACCATAGTCACTTTCCATGGTCAGAATTTTTTCTGTTGTTTGCTAATTTTCCCAGACTTTTAGCTCTTTGCTCAAATGGGGCTCTGCTTCTAGAGTAGAGGGCACACTGTCCCAAGCTTCAGGAGTTTTGTGCAGCTGTTTTCAGAGATACTTCTAGGGACTTTTAAGGTTTCAGTTTTTCCAAGTGATATGGTCTAAGGAGATGTGCGTTTACTAATCTCCTGGCCTGTGCTCTGGTCTGAGTGAACGGAAGCACTCTTTTCTGCCCTGAAACTATGATGAGGGTCCCTGCTACACTGTGGCCACAATCTCTGGTGTGCGAGGCCTCCTCCTCGCCCTTGGACTGCCACCCAGGACTGCTACCCGGATCTGAGTATGGGCAAAGCAACAGAGTCCTGTCCCCTGTGCCAGCAAAGAGACCCCTGTAATGTCCTTCTGACAACTTGTTTGACCCCCTTGCTGTCTGTGGGCTGAGAGCTCTGGAAGCAGCTGCTGACTCAGTCACTCCCCAGGCCTGCTCCTAGTTTTCTGGGGCTGGGTCTGTGCTGGACTATGCTCCTCTCTCACCCAGGTGCAACAGACTTTTCCTGCCAAACTTCTAAGTTGTCTTTGGCTGGAAAATTATTTCACCCACCTTTCTGTGGGTTCTGCTGTTCCAGAAATTGTTTTAGGGCATTATTTAAAGGTGTTCAGAGGGGTTTTTGGGGAACGCTCAGGTGAGTTACTGCCTTTTTTTTACTATCTTGGCTCCACCCCCCCAAAGTCTTTTTTAAAAACAAGTCCACAGATCTGAGGTTACAAACTTGTACTGGATGATTTCCAAGGTCTTTTACAGCTCTGAATCTTACGAGTTCTATGAATACAAATTCTCTTCCATCTTTTTTTCTCCTTTTTATTTAGGGGATAATGAAGCTCATTGCTCCAGGGGCTCGATAAAAAGATGTCAGGTCTTTCCCTGGTCCAAGGATATTAAGGTTTTATTTGACAAATACACCTCACTCCCCACATTCCTAACTGGCATGGGTACACACACACACACACACACACACACACACACACACACACACACACACACACCCCTCCATTTAAGGAGGGTGCCCTGGGCCACTGTCTCTGCACTTCCCACCTGGCTATATTCCTGGACTTCAACAGAATTTCATCATTCTGCAAGATCATCTCTTCCTCAGTACCCCTGGTCCTGAGACCCTTCCCTCTCAACTGACTGGACTCCCCGATCCCCCATTAAGGAGGGCATCCAGGGCACCATCTTTTCATTCCCCCCCCAGCCGTATTCCTCTAGATTTCGTCTTCACGTACCTTTTCAACTTTTCATCTTGCCCCATTAGATTATAGACTACAAGAGAAGAGGGACCGTCTGCTTTTCTTTGCATCCCTACCCCCTTAGCACAATTTGACTAACTGACCTCTCTCACATCCCTTGATGCACTTTTTCACAAACAAACTCTTAGGAGTCCACATGTAGGTGACTTATCTACGTGGTCAGAAAAGGCCCAGAGAGTGGGTAGAGGGCTTTGTCCTGCTCTGCAATATTTACTGCTA